TTGGTTCATTATATGAAAATGTTGGGTCCTATTATGTGACTTCCGGTTTGTGTTGAAGCAAGAGGTCATTGCCTCATTCTAAGTGTGGGGGACTTTATTTGGATTTTGCATGTTTATGTGGTGGACCGGTCTAGCTTTAGGTTTTTGTGTTGTTGAGCATGGTATTGGTGGATTATATGAATTGTTGATGAATGTTTGATGAAATTGAGAAGTTGTGATAACGAGCGTGTTGGTCATTGCCTCGGTATTTGCTTGATTGCTTTGAGTGACATTTATTTACCTTGTGAGGTTTTGAGCCTTATTCTTTTCTTGTGAGATATTGGTCATATTCTTGAATGATTAGAACTTGCCTTTAGTTTGTTTGAAAGGAATCGATTAAGTTTGAAATTGCGAATATGATTGAGGAATTTTGTTTGATTAGCTCTTTTTAGCCTTGTTCTTTGATCCTAGACGTTATTTTCCCTAGTAGCCCGTTTGAGCTTTGAGCCTTTTTCTTGTCAACTGTACACGAACGTATTTTGTTGACTGATTTGGTGATGATTGGTGAAAATGGTGTTGTTGTTGAATGAGGTGAATGGAATTGGATTTCTATTGCTTGACCTGAAAAAAGAAAAAAAAAAATATGAGAGCTCGCAAGACGAATCGATTGGATTCTTCTCCTCTTACTAGTCGATCGTGTTGACGGGTAATGAGCATTTGGAAACTACTGTAGAACACTTGGATGACCTCCAATGTTCACACCTACAGAATGTTGTCCTTTTGATTCGATCTTGTTCGGAAAAAGTTACTCTCCGAATAGAAAAGATATATAAAAAAAAACAAAAAAAAAAATTGGGTCAAGTGATGTTGTAATTCGATTAGAGCAGTGAGGTGTTGTTTGTGGAGTTGTTTGGTGGATAGTAAATGTGCTATATGGTTGATTTCTGATAAGTAGCGGACATTCGAGTAGTCTATATCTCGAGAACTTTTATCGTTTATCTGAGCTTCTTGTCTATATATATTCTTACCTTTACCCAAGCCTACATTACAACCCGTGAAGTCCTCTTGATTCGCATATTTTGAGCTTTGATTGTTTTTGAGTAATTTAAACACTTGGCAAGCATATGTTGAAACTTGAATATTGACCAATTTTGAGCGTACCTATCATATATTCATGTAAGAAAATGAGTGAGGCATATATGATGATCTATGTTTTGAGAGTTTGTCATTTTAAGGTAAAGTTGATATTTGAGGCATATGGTCGTACATTCGTTGGAATTCGAATCAATTGAATTGGGCATTTTGAGACTCTTCTTATTTTAAACCGTATCAATGCTCGTGTCTTGTTTTCTTTTCTTTTTATTCGGGACGAACAAAGGTTTTAGTGTGGGGGAGTTGTTTGTCCCATTTTTGTTGTGTTTTTCATTGTCTTTTTGCCGTTCTTTTTCCCCCGTATTGAGTCGTTTAGGTGGTTTTAGGATCTTTTTGTCATTTATTATGTGTTTTGCATTCATTTGAGTGTTGCGGTGTTTTCCGTTTGTTTTCCGGTCTTTTTCTGTTCTCTTTTCGTTTTTGGTGTGTAGTTTGGAGACCTCGGGAGAACAGGTTATCGAGAATCTTTTGGGGAAGCTAACACCATTAGAAAGAGGGGCTCATTAGCGACGCATAGGAAAAAGCGGAATTGAATTCTGATCCCAGACGAGCCCGAACGAGCCCAAACCGTGAAGTCATGCAAAGCTGCTGGGGACCTTAGCGCCGCTAAGGCCTGTGTGGTTAGCGGGGTTTTGGCAGCTAAGCGGGACAGAGGAAACCAGCTAAGAAGGCTTAGCGCCGCTAACCCCTTAGCGGCGCTAAGGTCTGTTTTGTAACAGACGCGATTTCTGCGGATTTTCGAAGGGGAAGCTTAATAGATCGAACCCAAGACCCCCAAACTGAGTTCTTTTTCATAGTAGACGAGAGAAGAGGGGGGTGCTCGATGGGGGAGGAACCCTAACTCCAAAAATTGACTCCTCCCTCCATTGTTCTTCCTCCTTCTTCTTCTCTTCCTCTCTTCTCCTCTTCTCCTCACCCTTCTTTTCCATTTTTTTTCTTCTTGTTAATAATTAGGGATTAAGCTTGCATTTGGAATTCAACACTTGAACTTGGGATTAATTGTAAGTTTCTCTTTTTATTCAATTCCTGAAAATGGTTGATTTGGAGAGAATGATTGATTGTGTTGAATCGATTTTACGTAGCTGAATCTGATTGCTAGGGATAGGGGATGATTGTTCTTGTTTAACATGCATTTGTCGGGCTTTGATTTGTTCATGCTTGTGTGGGTTGAATTGATTAGGAATTAATGAATTCATGCTTGATTTGTTGATATAATCGAAGAGTTACACTTCGATCTTGCAATTAGAAATAATTGAATATTGATTAGTCGAGTTAGGGTTTTGTTGATTCTATGTGATTAGTCGATTAATACTCTTCTAGTTAAATTAGCGACTTTCAGAACCGAAAGGGGAGAAGTCGTAGAAATAGAACCACATGAGGTAGATGATTTCGTAATTGAATAGTCTATAGGTTTTCGGTTGAAATACGTGCGAGTCGATGACCCGTCCCTTGTTACGAAAAGTTATTGGGATTGGGATAGTTGGCCCGTATTGTATGCTCGAGCTTGTACGTTTATGTTCAATCCCTTGTTACGAAAAGTTATTGGGAGCGAACCTCTAGATGTATAAGCAAGAGTGTCAATCTTGAACTGAACAATTGAATGCCCGACTTTGCTAAAACTTGAATTAATTATCCCCGATTCTCTAGCTTCTCCATCTTCGTGTCATCCATACTCTTAGGTAGATTTAAATTTTTGCATTGTTATTTATTTCTTAGTTGATAATTATTCATCCCCCTTATCTGATTAGAGTGTTTAGGATTTTATTTTCTTTTGTGTGTGATCGATACCATTTCTAAATTCCGAACCGCCTTCCTCGTGAGATCGACCCGGGGAACGAATCTTTTGATTCGGTACTCGGTAAAAAGATTAATTTGTACACAACATCAACTATTCTAACACATTACCTCAACTTTAATTTACTATTAATCCACTCGCATAATTTTAACTACCTATCATTTTCAATCATATATCTCATACTTTAAATCAAATCAATTTTAATTATTTTTTAAATATTATTATAATAAATTTTTAAATTTCCACTAACAACTAATCATATTAACTGTTTTTAAATAGGCTCTAGTTAACACAAATGAAAAAAAGGAAATTTTTTCTAGTTTTTATAAACAAACACGCCTTACATGCCCTGGCCAAATCATAACATTGACAATATCTTGATTATCCTTTTATAATTCTACTCATAACTCATTCGTTAGTGTAAAATTTGTCTCATTACAAGGAGTCAAAATATGAAATCAAAGTGTTGTATCTGCACAAGCAACAAATTACATTGTCCTCTTCAGCAATAACCTTATCATCAATTATCATTTCAATAAATTTGATTATAGAAGAGAACAGAGATAATGTTCAACTTCGTTTTATATAGACTATTAAAAAAGCATAAAATTATTTTTATTATGTCTCGCAAGTTCTCCGTTTGCCTTTTGTTCCTAAATATTTATTTGGAAAATATAACTACATATATTAGCAGCAAAAATTCAGCCTGAGCAGTTGCCCAGGCTGGCCCAAGTGTAAATCCACCCCTGCCAAAATGAGTTTTTGAGTTTTTCTCTCCTGATTTTGATGCAAATTTTGCGTTCCAAAAAAATGCGTATGTACTTCTATTATTCCAATATAGTCCTTTCTAATTTTAATTACACAAAGGATCTAAGAAAAAAATAAAATGAAATTTGTATGTGGAATGCAAAACGGGAAGGGACACATTGGGTGATGTTAAAATAATGTTATGGCATTAAAATTTTATATGTATCTAAGTATCAACATTTTAATAAAAAACTATAATAAATTGAAATAATATAATTTTTCTATAATATAATATTTATCTACATTTTATGTATGTGTATATATTATATTTAGTATTAGTAATTATTTTCAAGTTAAATATTGTTTTATTTATTGTTTATTATTATATATTAGTTTATTTTTAAAAGAAAAAAATTCACAAGCAATATAAATAGTGTGGTTTAATTTGTAAAGTTGTAAAATATGTGGGTAATATTGAAAATTTGTAAAAAATGATTTGGAAGAGAGTATTTCGAGAATATACTTTTAAGTTTGAAAAAGAGTTTTTCAGTTGAAGATAAATTAATGCAAAATGTGACAATTACTGCAAAATGGGTTTGAGCATGAGTTTTTTGGTTAGGAAATATTTTTCAATTAACAAACTTTTTTTGTTTGTTTTTTTGTAACCAACTAATTAAAACCACTTTGATCTCTACATGAGTACTTAAACGAACATTTGGTTTGGTTTGGGACATCTGCACCAAATTTTGATTATTTGAACAAAAAATGAGATACTAAACAAATTATAATTAAGAACATATATATCGTGAAGTAGTATCAACTCTCCAGTTCCAACAAAAAAGCTCTCACCCTTGACATCAAGAGTCATCGAGATTATGTTCCTCACTCAGCAACCAAAATGGAAATTACTAAAACCATAACAACACTATTGAAGAAGACCCATATGGAATAATTTCCAAAGTTAATCAACTACATCCACATCAAAACCAACGCTGCTGCCGCCACCAGCCCGACCGACGACCCAGAAACCGCTGTCCTCCACGAGGCGCTAGCCGGCGGCACCGTCACTTCATCGTCTGCTTCAACGTCTGCCGGCGCAGCATTGGGCCCTGGACCTGGGGCTGGGGCTGAGGCAGGCGTTTCCACGTCAACATCAGGCCCGTCGGCAGCCGGCAGGTCATCTTCGGGGCTCTCGGCCGGTGCTTCGACCTCCGGCGCTGCAGCGGCAGCCTCCTTCGGCGGCGGCGCCGAGACGTTGATGGGACGCCAGCTGCCATCGATCCCGGGCGCGACGATGACGTGGGAGACGCTGAGGACGGATATGTTGTAGGGTAAGGCGGCCACGGAGCCCTCGAGCTTGGAGTCGGTTGGTGCTCCCTTCATGGCCGAGCCGAAGAAGATTCCGCCCTGGTTGTGTGCCACGTTGATGAATCCCTGCTGGTCATCCGCCGTCCCCGTCGACTGGTAGAGGGTGGTGATGATAGTGTGGTTGCCCCTCAGCTTGTTGAGCTTGAGGACGTTGTAGTAGTCGAGGAGGACGTGGGTGCTGAGGATGCGCTTGACGACGTCCTCGGGCTTGCCGGAGAGGTCATCGGCCAGGCGGGCGTTGGTGAGGGCGAGGATGGTGAGGGGCTTGCGGTGGTTGATGACCTCGGCTAGGTGGGTTTGGGAGAGGAGGGCGTTGAATTGGGAGAAGTCTGGGTATTGGTCGAGGATGCTGGTGATGTTGTGGGCTGTGATGGTGGTGGAAAGGAGGAGGAAGGACGTGAAGATGAAGGAGATGGTTGAGGGACTCATTTTTTTTGCTAAAACGACTTTGAGATGGGGAAATTAAAATCGTTTTAGCTAAAATGAGAGATGAGGATTGTTGTTGTTGTTGTGGTTCTATCTATATATATATATCTATATATTGGGGATTATGAGGGAGAATGGGTGCGTGTGTTGAAGTGAGTAAGAGAGAGAAGAGTGCTCTTTTCCACACAGTTTTGGATGGTTTTGAGGGCATCACAAACTCATTCAGCGGTTTTCAGCATGGGTGCTAAATTTTGCTGGATGAGCTTTCATGTTTGACAAATTGACAGTTTTTTTTGGTAGTCAGCATGGTATCCAAATCTATGTCCCGACTAATCTGTTGGTCGACCCGGGTCGCACACCTGGCAGTGGTGGGTGAGTCTCCCAACAAGGTTTTCGGCATCCACAAGGACTCGAACTCGAGACCTTACTTAAGCGACATCAAGCTGCTTAACACTTGAGTCAACCCCTGCTGTTGGTATTGACAGTTTTTTTTAATGTGTATAAGTGGTAATTATTTGACCAAATGAATTTGGGTCAAAATTCAATCCGGGTATTATTATTGTTATTATTATTATTCATAATTCCTCAAAGTTACAATTATCAACCATTACTTTCTTAACAATAAATAGTCAAATAATTTATATTTATAATATCTATTCACTAATCAATTTTTTAAAATACGATACATCAATTATCTATTTTATAATTTAAATCTTTAATAATATATATACATATATATATAATAGTTCATAATTCACATACATGCATGTGCTGCTAGCTTACATTGAAATAATGAACATGTAATTTAATGAAGCTTCAAATAATAACGGGCAAGTATCAACTAATGGTTTTTGAGTACACAGAACGAGCCTCGATCAAAATCTCATAATTAAAAAAAAATATATATATATATATATTACAAACTGGTAAAAGTGTCCACAAATGGTGCGATAAGCAAGACCTATTATCACTGCTCTTTTGGACGTACAAAGCTCGGCTTTTTTAATATCTTAGAAGATGATTCTTTCCGTGGAGTGTGTACATCAAACAGCTTGTCAGGGTTACCAGTTTTGTTTGGCCAAAGACCAGAAACAATGCAAATAGTGAATCGATCGAGACATTAAAGAGCATTTCTTGTCTAGGATTTTTCTACGTTGGTAAAAGAAACAGGAACTGGAGAGCACCGTAACGAATCAACATCAAAACGGCCGAACAAAAAAATAAGTAAATAAATAATCGAAGGTGCCTGCCAGAAGTTCTTTCCACATCTTACTGACGCGTACAAGTTTTGGTCTAGGCAAAACCGACTCACCCAAGTCCCAGAGTGAAGGAGCTAAAGGCAAGCACATGCAAGTGTCACGGACCATACACTAGCATATCTTTTGGTACTTCGAAAAATAGCACTCATCCATTGGAGCTCAAAAGGATAAATGACAATAAATACCATTTCGAAAAACCGGTCGGGGAAATTTGTAGTACGAGTCATCAGGAGCCAAGATGAAAATTTCAAGTATCTGACCCAGGTGCATGAAGCAAGCCCCAAGTGCTCGAGTCTAATGGAACAAACTATTTGAGGAGAGATAATCACGTATGCGCAGACAATGCAATCAAAAGTAGGCATCTAGCTAGCAGAGTGTAGCCAATGAAGGTCGAAACACAAGTGCAGAAGCACAAAACCAATGAAGCAGTCGCAGGATGAGACCTCGACACAAAAAACAAAAGCATAGCAGTTTTAGCATTCAATAAGTCCACATCTATATAGTGGTTCATATATTTAGAAAAGGATCAATGGTCTAACAAGATAAAAGCAACAAACTTACTACTGAAGTAGTAACGACATAACCCAATCCAGAAGTCGAAGTTTCTCTGAGGGCGACGACCCCCTTACATATGCCATAAATAAGTCCAAGCACAGAAAACACACAATTCGAAAAAGTTCTGCATAGATTTAAAGAGTTCTCAAGAGTTCAACACAGTTCAGCTCCTGCTTCTACGCCTTTCCTTAATGCCATTTCTGCACAAGAAAATACAAGTGAAAACACAGTTATGATATAAATTGAGGTGCCTGCAAACCCAAGCATTAAAGCATATATTTACACATTCAGACAGCTAGGAAACTAAAATACACGAATGTACAGACAAGAAATAATATGAGTGCAGCTTAACAATGTTTCATGCGATTGTCATCCCATCATACCTCTTCTTAACCACACATTTGAATTTTATTTTAACAGGCAGAAGAAAATTACCACATCACACTAACTAAAATTAGTTTAGTCCTGACAAAGCTCACATTATAAGATTGATTGTGACCCCGCAGCATGAGTACAAGGTGAACCATATACACGTCGTTAAGCCTACCAAAGAAACTTATATAACTATCAAAACCAATATACTCAGAAGCATTTTATTGAACTCGATTATGAGTGTTTCACAAAAGTCAGTTAAACCAAAAACACATTAGACCAAAAACAAAGACAATCATCAAGACACATTAGAGATTAGTGGGAAGAGAAAAGAAAAGAAAAGAAAAAAAAGGACTTAACCCATTTGCATATGGCACCTCATCTCGTCCACGATATGGTGGTGACCTGCTGTAGCTGCGACCTCTAGGTGACAAACTGCGACGACGAGGAGAACGACCACGGGGACTGTAACTCCTGTGGACAGAAAACCAAATTCTGATAAGACA